CCCCCAAAGTAAAGTCAATCGCAACTGCTCCCAGAGCTTCTGAATATGTTGAACGGTAACTCTCAACTGTAAAGAAAGTTGAACAATAGTCGTATAGATTTTGGCCTTTTGTGTTTAGGACAGCAATCGCGTGCTGGCAAGGAAGACCTGTGGGTTTCCACCCGAAACAGCTGCAGGTTTGGTTATTGATGTCTACGAGTTGAACAGACCCATCGTGAACCTCAAAAAGCGTGTCCGAACAGAAGAAAACTTTTAGCACGTTTGCTTTCTTGCATTCTTCCGCTAGACTTTCCTCCTTTGATGGCACAAGTTGGCTGAACCACGGTTGTGACTTCACCTGCCTACTGTTCACTAACTCCACAATTCTATTCACAAATGCCACAAGCTTTAGGACGATCGAAGTTTCCTGAATTTCTTCAACCCACTTCGAGTAGATCTCTCCCACATCTGACGTAATATGGCTGTATGGTTCACCCTCAAACAATGCACTGGCCCAGTGCTTTGATTCAATCTGCATTACCCAATCATAAGCTCTTGGAGACACTCGTCTTATTTGCTCGGTGTAAGCCTTAAACCCATCAAGTCGATCAGCACGTGCTGCAGCCAGTAAATAATATGATAGGGATGGCTTCCCGTCTCCAAGAAACGGACCTCTCAGGCTTCTCGTAAAATCCTCCATCAAATAATGTATGGAATAACCATGATGGGAATTTTCGAAAATCTCCAACACAGAACTCATTAGTCCTTTCTCTCTGTCAGAGACAAAGGTAAGGGCCCTTAAACTGGGCACAGCTACCTTCAATTGTTCCAGAAACCAGCGCCAAGTTTCATCAGTTTCCACATCCACAAGGGCTAATGCTACTGGAAGCACGCCATCGTCTCCATCCAAGGCAGAAGCTGTTAACAAAATCTCATGATACCTAGACTTAAATGGAATGGCATCAAGGAAAATAAGGGGTCGGCAACCATTTTGAAAGCCATGCATACACGATTGGAAAGACAGAAAAAGCCGCTGAAATCTTCTGTCCTCACCAACCACAAGATCAACCAAACTTCCAGGATTTGCCTCAACTATCCTATTCACAAAATGAGGCAAATGCTTATATGCCTCTTTGAACGATGTATGAAGGCCTCCTTTGGCTTCATCAATGCCTCGTCTTATAGTGCAATAACTGAGCTCAATACCAAAATCTTGAAGAATCGAGTCAGCAATGTTCTTAGTCTTCTGATTCGGGTTCTCCTGCAACCTCTCCTTGATGATACTCACCACCCAGTTCTTTTTTGGATGAGCAGATTTCCAAGATTCTCCCCCGCATGTATGCCTTCTGTTAAATTTTTTTATCCTAAACACACTTTCGGATGGTACCCATGATGCATAAATCTTCCAAGGACAACCTCCAACTAAACAAACACCACATGCACGATTTGATTCATTCTTCCTTAATCTGTACCCAAAACGACAAGCAACTGCATATTTCTGCAACGCATCACGAAAATCAACGACACTCTCAAATCCCTGACCAACACCAGTAATGCAACGTTTCCATGAGGCTACCAAACTCTCTACAGAACCATCATTAGCATCAGAGAGAGAATAATTCATCTCTGGTTCAGAGGCGAGATCCTCGGTTTCAGGGTAATAGGTCTCAATATCATGCACAAAGTCCTTG